TTAACCAGATTGGCACTTGAGCTACAAATAGTCACTAGGATACATAATAGTAAGTGCAGAGGGAACACACAACCCACGAACATAGAAATCCATAGACAATATGAGAACTTAGCTTGCGACTAATGAATGATGCGCGGGGGGGCACACGGCTCAAAATTCATATGACTTTCAATTGAACACAGGGGCCCTTAAACTGGAGTCAAATGGGCGCTGATTTGGGGGCACCTCCACAGGATTCAGGGCCCCTCCTTGGATTCTGCAATGTTTTTTTTCTGATTTCTTTTTGAAGATTTCCAAAATAATTTGTTTCTTAATTAAATGTTCAATAATGAATCTGAGTAAATATTAGCTTAGATTAAGCTGTGAGTTGTAATGTTCTGAAAACTACTGTTACTTTGACCAACAACAATCAATTAAATGATGACTGTGCACATAAAAGATCCCATGGCAGATGGAATTGAATAAAAGAGTAGACTGTAGCACCGCTGTCTGGACAAAATTTCCCTTATAGCACACAGCTGTATGGCGTATGCCCGTCTTCATTAGCCCGGTCGGAGCAGAACAGTAGGACATTAAACCCCATTTTATTTCTGAGAAATTTCCTCTGTATTTTCAAGTGATGCAGGATGGAGATGGCCTCTCTAGGAACAGCGATTAGTTGTGCGAATGGGACGTTAAACATACATGTAGGTCCTCTGTACACCGTGTACATGTAAAATTTCCATCATAGAACACTGTATGGCACAATGCTTCTCTTCATTATTAGACCGGATGGAGTAGCAAATTACACCATAATACCGGATTTACTTTTGTCAATGTCTGAGTCCTTTGTTTGTAAAAATAAATGAGATTTGTATGATTGAGATATCAGTAACAGGAAGTGTAGACTTTCAGAAATCGTATTAGGTGAAAATAACCATACTAAACTTACACTGTCTACAATTAGCCCCTCTTGAGAATAGACACTAAGCTAGTTGACCGACATTTTATGTCATAAATCAACGATTTTAGTCGAAAACACTAAGTATATTTCAAGAATTTTGAGAAGTATATATTCTGCTTTCATTTAATAAAATTGAAAAGGTTTAATAACAGGTTTAATTAATTTGTGTATAACAGATTCGAACGGGGGGTATAGGAGTTTTAGGACCGCATTACAAAACAGTATATATACTAATTGTTGTATATGGCGACCATTTAGGACAGAGATCTATTCTTGAAGTATAGTAGATAGTTCTCTGTTTACAGAAAGAGTAATGACCTGTATATTGTTACAGAGTTAATTACTACAGAACAAAATCATATTACCTGTAATATGACAGACATCTTGTTGTTGACAGTCTGTTATTAAATATTGTAGTTAGGCCATACAAAAAAGTATGCTAGTTCTGAGACAATCCTTAACAAAAAACGGAGGCAGGAGGGAGGTTTTTATTTTTGTTTCTTTTATTTTGTCAGAGGGTCATAACTGGGCTAAATAACTTCTCATAAACACCACATTTTAATGCACTATACATTTAATTTATCATGTTGTTGAATAGGAGTGTCAGGGTTGTGTACTTGATAAATGAGTCTATGCCGCATGTGTCATTTATGATTGTCAGGGTTATGCACTTGATAAATGAGCCTATGCCACATTTCAGGATTCATCCAGATATTTTTGTACATCTACTTCCTGTAACTAGGTAAAACATTTATGTGCGATAATCAATTTTAAAAGTAAAACAGATCATGCTGTCGTCTTTAAGTGACGCAGGATTACTTGTAAACAGAATATTTTTTTTATATGGCCTTAGTTTATAACAGTGATTCTCAACCAGTGTGCCGTGAAATTTTTCACGGCACACTAAGAAAATTTGAAAACCCATGTGATCCCAATTGAGTATTCACTGGTGTCTACTGATAAGTTCATAGCTGTTATTTCGTTATTTAGTTTGAGTCATTCTATGTGTCTATGACTAGTCTCTGTCTACAGTTGTATTCCGTCTGAACTTATCATGTTTTTATTTTGCAAAATTCAAATATTTTTCATATATTTAGCCAGGTGTGCCGCTGTTTTTTCATGTGTTCCATGCCGTTGGCAAAAAAAAAGGTTGAGAACCACTGGTTTATAATATGATTAGTGTATATAATATCATTTATCCTGTTAATTTGAAATCTATTAGAAAGATACATATCTCTGTTAATTACTCAATGCTGCTCCGGAAATTAAACATCTGTAAACATGACACTCATTTCCTATTTAGACAGACCATTATGAAGTACGGACAATAGAATCACAATAATATCTAATGATTCTCAACAAATATTAATTATTTGCCAACAATGGTTACATGATTGAGTTGTAGTTATGATAATAAGTATGGTTTTCCACTTACCACAATAAAACATCAACTTTATAGTGACGTCAGCAGCATCAAAATATTTTAAAGGCCAAATTTGATTGGAAAATCTTCGGTAATTAAAAGATGCATTATGTATAATGGAAAATGAATATATTAAAAATTTTATTCAAATTACTTTATTCTGAGCAAAGTTATTATTGTCATTATTGTTGCAGCAGTACTTGTCAAATGAGACTTTTTTATCATTAGATTTTTATACGCCCACATTGAAATGTGGTTGTAAATTGTCGTCGGTCCGGCTTCCACAATTGCTTGTGGGCCCTCTAGAGGCTAAAGTTAATATTTGGTTGACTTTATATTTATTTTCAACAATTCCCGATAATTACTGCCAGAGTTATGGCTCTTGATCACTTTGAAAAATCTTGTGGATGCTCTAGAGGCTAAATTTAATATCTGATTGACTTTTTAAGGTCATCAGACAAAGAAGCCTACTGATTTTTAACAATTTCCAATAATTACTGCAAGAGTTTTGGCCCTTGATCACTTTGAAAAATCTTGTGGATGCCCAGAGGCTAAAGTAAAGTTAATACCCGATTGACTTTCCATTTATACACAGTGTTTAAGGTCATCAGACGAAGAAGCCATAATTGATTTTCAACAATTTCAGATAATTACTGCCAGAGTTACGGCCCCTGATCATTTTGAAAAATCTTGTGGATGCTCTAGAGGCTAAAGTTAATATCCAATTGATTTTATATTTATATACCGTGTTTACGCCTATATATAATCGTTTTGATTGACTTTAGATTGATACCTAGAGTATAAGGTCTTGAGACTAAACAGTATATTGATTTTCAATGATTTTCGATAACTTGAACAGCTAAATCCATGATATTAAATGTTTTGTATACTAAACGTTAGCATGGGCCAAACTCTAAATGATTTTCTGATAATTACTTAATGAGTTGTTACTCTTTATCAGGTTTTAGTGTATTATAAATGTTTCATTACCGACAACAGAAAAAATATGCGACAAGACAACTCTTGTTGTCTGTCCGGATGATTGAGCTGTTATGGGCATATGTTTCGTAGCATGGCAACCTATCTCTAAATGTCGCGCATGTTTAAATCTATTTAAATCTTGGCCATCTGATGTTCAAGAGAGTTGATTATAGGCTTGTCATGTGAATAAATGTCTAAATAATAAAATATAAAACATTTGAGGCCAAAAGAAAGACCTGCAATACGAAGATTTAACATATCATTAAAATCTCTCGGTCAAATAAAGATCCACTGGTACATTGTGAATCCATTGAAAATTGATTGTGTATTTTTCGACTTCATCATAAATCTGGCCATTGCGGCATTGACTGTTTTGACTATCTGGATATTGTCTGCCTTTAGAACCCAATATAATAGGAGGCCTTTATGGTAAGATGCATTTGACAAAATATCATATACTTTTGTAATGAAATATTTCATATTTTGGTAGAAATGGCACTCCATTCAACAAAGTCAAGTAGCATAGTTTTGATTCCCTGCATGTACGTGACAAGGTGTAGGATCATCTGTCATCCAGTTTCCTGCCACAGCTAAAGACTCTGCGTGCAAGTGAATTATTGAAATAAATCTGAACCATATGTTAGTCCCGAAATGACCTAGTTTGTGTCAAGTGGACACTAAACCCCATTTATCTCTCTCTCTTACTGTACATTTAACAAAAGATAAAATCTGAACCATATGTTAGTCCCAAAATTATCTAGTTTGTGTTGAATGGACTTCAAACCTCATTTATCTCGCTCTCACAGTCAACAAAAGATGAAATAGTCTCAATATTTCTGTTCCTTTGAGGGATTCAGTTCTGGCAGTTGGAATTCGATATAAGAGTAGGCTGTAGCGCCGCTGTACAGGCAAAATTTACCTCATTGCACACTGGATGGCATATGCCCATCTTCATTAGCCTATTTAGAGCAGAACATTTTACAACACAATTTATATAGAAAACAATCACTGGTTTATACACATATAGTACGACCTTTCGACAAGTATTCTCTTATCGTTACCACGTACGATAAGAGAATACTTGTCGAAAGGTTGTGCTATATGTGTATAAACCAGTGATTGTTTTCCATATATTTTGTGTTGTGTTTTTTTAATGTGCTCAATCACTAAATGTCTCTCAAGGATTATAGCATAGACTTTGTTAGAGAATTGACAGGAGCTTAGAATTGTTCCAACCAGATTTGGTCACTCCAGTGTTATTTGCATATCTCAAGGCCTGGTCAGGATTATTAGTTCCTTTAAGCCAAGCTATTTAACAAGTAAAGTTACTCAAGATAGCTTAGCTTGTGAATTTAAGCCGTCAGCATCATGTATACCCCAGGTTAGCATTCAGACATTTACAATGAACAGCGTCCAGTTGTTTGGATGGGACTGAAAAACTGAGGTTCTGTATACACATTGGTGGTGTGCACCTTAAAGAACTCTTGACTGTTGGAATTTTAGATACATGTATGAGAGGGTCATAGCAGAAGCGCCACTATCCAGGCAAAATTCCACTTAAGCTTTTAAGCTTACATATCTGTCTGAATGGGATATTAGACTACTTTTGTGTCAACTGTCTGGATTGCCTAATTTTTCTCTCTTTTTTTGTAGAAAGTAGAAATTAAAGATGGTGGTACTGGTAGTTTTATTGGAAGATGCTGCAGTAAAGTGAAATATTTGTTTCTCTTAATTCTTGTACCACCATTTTTAAATTATGCATCACTTCAAAAAGAAATGACAGAACTACAGCCAGCAGGTAATTTAAATTATATCCCTTGACCTTGTGTCGAGTGGACGTTAAGCCCCATTTCTCAATCTCTTTTTTTTGTTGATCCATTCATCAACTGCTGTTAATTATGAATGTGTACAATCCTGAACCTATGTTTTCTTTTGTCCTTTCCGAATCACCCAAACATGCACCAAGGGAGAACAGGGCTTGACGAATCACATCAGTTCTTCTCGGTCCACGCTAGGATACAGATCAGCGACCACCCATTGGACTTGAACTGGACTTAAAAACAATGTTCATGTTCATGAGACAACGAATTCTCTTAACAATTTCTGATAATTACTGTTAGAGTTATGGCCCTTGGTCGGTTTTAAAAATGTTGGGGACTCTCTAGATGTGTTGGGGACTCTCTAGATGTGTTGGGGACACAAAAGAAGTCAATTAAATTTGAACAATTTTCAATAATTACTGTTGGAGTTATCATCCTTGATCAATTTGAAAATGATATGTATGCTTTTGCTATATTTTCTTTGTAGGTGAAATGTATGATATTGGTTGGGGTCAGAAACTGTTTATGATGTGTAAAGGAGAAGGTGCTCCCACAGGTTAGTGTTCTATACAAGAAGTTGGTTATCTCCCTTGATCGATTCTGTCTGTCTTATACTGAATTTATCTGTATTGACATTACTCTAGATATTCCCGACCTGCCAGCAATTATCTGGAACAATTCATCGTTGAATGACATCTTGTGTATACCATATGCAGCCCTTTAAAGATCACGGGGATCTAAACAAGAGTAGCGCTGCTGTCGAAGCAAAATTTTCCTCACAGCACACTGCAGGGCTTTTGCTTGTTTCCATTAGCTTGGTTCGATATCCAGTAGGATGTTAAACTGTTAAACCCTCATTTGATTTCATATTGAGTCTGATTTGGCATGGAGCCACAGTGGCTAGGTGGTTAAGACGCTGGCTTGCTAGCCTGGAGGTCGGGTGTTCGATCCCTCCATTGGCCGAGAAAGTTAATCAGTATTTTCCGACTTGGTTTCCCCTTGTCAGTGATGCAGAACAGAGGGCCTGACAAGGACAGCTGTCTAGTCCTTCGGATGAGAAGAAAAACAGGTCCCGTGTATACATTAGAATGCACGTAAGAGATCCCTTGGCAGTTGGAATTCAATATAAGAGTAGGCGATAGTGCCTCTGCCCGGGCAAAATTTCCCTCGTAGCACACTGTATGGCGTATGCCCGTCTTCATTAGCCCAGTATAGGAGCAGAACAGTAGGACGTTAAACCCCATTTCATTTCTGATTTGGCATAGAAATATAACGTTGTGGATGAGAAAGTTGATTAGGACTTTTCATATACTTTATCATTTATTTCCTTAATGATTTTTCGGGAAACGTTTTCTTTCAATAATCCTGTAAGATAATAAATTAAGTTTAAGTTTTTTGATATTACAGTTGTATTAGATGCACCTACTGGAATGTCTTCAGATGTATGGTCACGAGTCTGGCCAGATATAGCCAAACATACGAAGGTATGGTACTAGCAACCCCAACTCATTAGCATTTATCGTCGCTATAATTTTTAATGGGCAGTACATTTATTTCATTTCCCATCATTTCCCACCAAAAGTTCACCAGACAAATTATATACAGTAGAATCTGCATTAAGCAGCCACCCAAGGGAATTTTCACAACTGACCGCTTAACGGGAGTGGCCTCTTAATAAAATCTCGTTGCTTTTTGTGCCGACATAAATTAAATATTACGCTTGGATGCATTGGAAGCGGTAAATTTGGCCGTCGCTGAATCTTGCGCCGAACGAAAATTCTTTACTCAAATCTCGGACATAACTTAACGGTAGTGGCCTCTTAATAAAATCTCGTTGCTTTTTGTGCCGACATAAATTAAATATTACGCTTGGATGCATTGGAAGCGGTAAATTTGGCCGTCGCTGAATCTTGCGCCGGACGAAAATTCTTTACTCAAATCTCGGACATAACTTCTGTAAACTTGTCATTTTGTACCAACCTTCGATACTACTGTCTACCATTGTGATGCATTCGATAATATTTATCCATTTTTGTGAAGAAAATCGATGAATTCATTTTATTTTATCAAAAAAGCACATGAACAAAAAACATCGCTAATTTTATCTCCTATTTACAGGGGGTGTAACTCTGTATGTAATATTATAGGAGGCGCTAAGAGAGATACTAGATGATCGTGACAAAACTCGGTACTTTTATTTTATTCAATCAGTATCAAATAATGTGTCGTTACGCGTGAAAACAATGATCAGGTTAGTCGTTTAATAAAACAAAAGATTAATTAACAGATAATCCCGGGTTGATTGTTATGTTTACATTTCTTTTTACCTGATCAGTGGGGGTCCAGTTAATTAACTACTACTCACGGGATTAGCGGGGGTGTTACAAAGAACGACAAGATGGTATCATTCAACAATGGCCGTTGAATGGGCGATGTTTTGTTGAATTCATTAGTAAAATAGTGACCGCTGGCCGCGTTAGAGGAGTGACCGTTGAATAAAGAGATGAAACAACAGAATTTCTACGGGGTGAATTTATCGTGACCGCTTACAAGGAGATGTCGCTGAATAGGAGTGGCTGCTCATACAGATTCTACTGTACTGTAAAAAAGCTGATAAAATCACCTTTCCATTGATGTGAATTTAATTTTGTTAATATTTATTAAATTATTGTTTCTTTTGAGATAAGGTTTGCAAATACGATAAAGTGACGTCATTTATAGATAAAGAGAATCACACGAAGGTATAATGGTACTACTAGTTGTACGACTAGATTAACAAGACTAGATTAACAAGAGCGTGTGAGCAGGATCCTGGTGACTTGAATAAAACATTGTTTTAAACTCTCTTATGTGTAGGAGGCACTGTGGTTCAATGATTAAAGATACATTATGTTAAATTTAGATAAAGAGCTAGCCATTCTTGCTATTATAATATATCAAAAATAGATAATGCAAAATGAATATGTTGAAAAAAAATTTATTACTTTTTTGACAAGATGTGTGCAATGATTGTGTATTATCGTAACCACGGTACTGGTGTATATTTGAGGCTGAGCCTCGGGTCCCCATTTTGAAATTAAATCATTAAATGGCAGAACTGTTCTAATCTAGTTAAAATCTCAAGTATCAGATGGGATCGAGAATTTATTATAATTGTCATGTTAAGAAATGTCTAATTGATAATTTATATAACTTTTAAGGCCTAAAGAAAGATCAACAGTAGACAAATTGAGATCTTGAATGATGTATCTTTAAGGCACTGTCTCATGTTTACGTCTTGGGTTTGATTCTGGTATTGGACAAGAAAGTTCGTCAAGATCTACCAACCTGGTTTCCCCTTGTCAGTGTTACAACACAGACGGTCTAGCAAAGCAAAACGTCTGATCATTTAGATGAAATAAAATGGTGTTTACCATCCTACTGTTATGCTTCGACTGGGCCAATGAAGAAAAGAAATGAAATGAAATGGAGTTTAACGTCCTACTATTCTACTCCAACGTGACTAATGAAGATGGTCATACACAATACAGTGTGCTATGAATGAAATTTTGCCTGTACAGCAGCACTATAGCCTACTCTTATATCAAATTTTAACTGCCAATGGCTCTTTTACATGCACGCCTATGTGTACAGGGGACCTCGGGTTTTGTCCCATCCAAACAACTATTCATTATCTCTTTCCAGGCTACTCATTTAGATTAAGGTCCTATGTACACATTGGTGTGCATGTAAAAGAACCCTTAACAATTGGAATTTGATGAAGATAAGGCAGAAACGCCGCTGCCTGGTCAAAATTTCCTCATAGCAAAATGCATGGTGTATGCCCATCTTCTTCATTAGCCCAGTGTTTGCAGAAAAGTGGGACCTCAAACTTTGTTTCATTTCATATTTATAAATGTTGATTATTTTTTGTCTGATTTTTATTTGTTTAATTTGCTCAAATCTCATTTATTATTTGTGAGTTACATATTTTCGGGTGTGTATATATGATAGAGCTGGTTTAGGTTTCAGTGAAAGACCATCAATGGTAAGTACCAAACATTTATAAATGAAATAGTGTATTGACAACGGGGAGCCACGGTGGCTAGGTGGTTAAGACGCTGGCTCGCTAGCCTGGATGTCGGGTGTTCCATCCCTGCATTGGCCGAGAAAGTTCATCTGGATTTTCCGACGTGGTTTCCCCTTGTCAGTGGTGCAGAACAGAGGGCCTGACAAGGACAGCTGTCCAGTCCTTCGGATGATACAAAAAAACGAGATCCCGTGTATACATTGGAATGCACGTAAAAGATCCCTTGGCAGTTGGAATTCGATATAAGAGTAGGCGATAGTGCCGCCGCCCGGGCAAAATTTCCTTCATAGCACACTGTATGGCGTATGCCCGTCTTCATTAGCTCAGTATAGGAGCAGAACAGTAGGACGTTAAACCCCATTTCATTTCATTTCATTTGTATTGACAACGAGCTTATAACCAGAATGCCTAAGCATCAAATCCAAGGTTGGACACGTTGCATCGTAATGTGTGTCAAATGGCCTGGTTTTGATTCCCCACGCACTGTAGTATTAAACACGGGTCATCATTCTCAGCTTTACTCCATTTTGTTTAAAACGCTCCTCAGCTTTACTCCATTTTGTTTAAAACACTCCTCAGTTTTACTCCATTTTGTTTAAAACACTCCTCAGTTTTACTCCATTTTGTTTAAAACACTTCTCCGTCTTCCTCTAGTAGTAATGGTGGATGTTTGGAATAACCCATGTTCCTGAAACGACTGCAAGTTTTACGACATCTGGACGTTGCTAGACTACTTTATAATTCTCGAACTTATAGCTATGTGATCTGCAGACACATGAACAGTAGCATCCAATCAGAGGTTGTGACATATAACAACCTCCACGAACACCTTGACATTGAACTTTGTAAATTGGATTATCACAGGTAGACATTTTAGCTTGAAAGCGCGAGACTTAGTATTCACGATGAACAAGGAATATGATAGGCTTTTAAGGTGGATGAATACCCAATCAAAATTAGTATCGAAATACCGACTTTAGTAATGATGATCTAGGCTAGGCCTAAAATTCAAATCTAATATCTTGGTTCAGAGTGGATCAATTTGACTGAAATTTTCAGCAAATTGCCTTTACATTATCTATTTGTTAACTATTATAGTGAGAACTGCCTGCTCTTTATCTAATCTCCCATAATGGCCCTTTAACTCATTTAATCAATTGTGGTTTTATAAGAGTCTGATACTCGGATTATTTTTTATTTTAATTAATTTGCTGAAATCTGTTTTATTATTTTCGAGTTACCCTAGCATCTAGCTTGATTGTCTTCAAAATTATTTGTGACGAGAATGTTCATGGGACTAAGGGGTCTGTTGTCCCTGATCTCCAATATGAAATCAGTGTACTAAAAAAGCTCAATTTGATAAGCATTTTAGACAACTTAAATAAGCTGTGATGGACATCTGTTTTTTTGCCTGGTAACATTTCTTTTTGTTTATTTAGAATGAAAGTAGAATTAATGAAACACGGTCTGGTCAGCCATTTACAGTAGAAAGGTTAGTTAAAATATTCATTATTACATTAGTCAAACCCCTTCAAAATATACATTATTACATTAGTAAAACCCCTTCAAAATATGCATTATAATAAATCAAACCCCTTCAAGATATACAGTATTAAATCAGTTAAAGCCCTTCAAGATTCAGTCCAATTTTGTTCAGTTTTAGCACCAGAACTGAAAATAGATTATACCATTAAAACAAATGTCAATATGTTCCTTTTGATGTGTAACATCATCCCAGCTGAATTAATTTGGACAATGTCATATTCGATTTGAATTTTAAGCACATGATATTTCAGATCAAAATACAAACAGAGACTGTATGGCGTATGTTCGTCTTCATTAGCCCAGTTCGGAGCAGAACAGTAGGACGGTAAACCCCATTTCATTTCATTTCATTTTCTGTCTTAGAATGTCAGCTAGGTAAGGATTTTATTTTTTTGTAGAATGGCAGCTGATTTAAATCGATTGATCACAAGTAGTAGTCAACAGCCACAACCTTTTATTCTTGTTGGAACAGAACTTGGTGCTACAGTTGCTCAATTCTACACGCAAATTTTTGAAAGGTAAATATGGAAAAGACAGAGAGAGAGAAATGGGGTTTAACCTCCACTCGACACAAACTATGTCATTTTGGGACTAACATGGTTGAATTTTATTTCAATAATTCACATGCGCATAGGGGTCTCTAGCAGTAGGAGGAAACCGGATGACCCAGAGAAAACCCACGAGGTTGGGGAAAAGAGTTGTAAAGAATGCTGTTCAAATAATTTTGTTTTTGGTGCTTTAAGGGTGGGAGGGAATGTGGGATATTTCATTTTTGACCTCCCTTTCTTATGTTACTAAAGGAAGTCTTGGCACAGTGGGTAGGCACACTAGCTCACTAACCAACAGGTCATTCACTCAGGTGTTGGCCGCGCAAGCTTCTCAGGTCTCGTGTACACATGGGAGTGAAAAGGAGATGAAACAAATATCACGAATTTCATATTAAGACCCATATTTTAACTTTTAAATACCCTCCTGTTTACACTTTGGTGTGCACATAAAAGAACCCTTGAGAGATGAAAATCGACATAAGAGAGACTGTAGTGCCGCTGTCTGGAAAAAATTTCTCTCGTAGTACTCTGTAGGGCGTAAGCCCATCGTCATTATCCCAGTCAGTGCAGATATGTAGAACATTCAACACCATTTCATTTCATTTATATTACTAAAACTGTGGGAACTCACCTTATCAATTCATTTGTCATGTTTTAGGCCCCATATTTTATGTACTACATCAGAAAGCTGTCTAAATGAGACCCATCACATAACCTGTATTTCAGATGCCACATAAGCATTAAGCATACCGTATCTGTCTTTTAATATGAAAATGGCCTTCTTTTTGTCCCCCGCCTTTCGGGGAAAGCAGGGGACGATCAAAATGGGTCTGTCGGTCTGTCCGTCACACTTTTTGGGACACAATAACCCTCTTTCTAATTGAGCTAGAATGTTCAAACTTGGTGTAGGTGTTCTTTACGTCGATGCCTTGATGGAGTTCGAAAATTAGCATTTTCTGCGTTGGGTAAGCAGAGATAAGCAATTTCATTGGTTGATGCTTTGGGACACGATAACTTTAGTTCTAATTATGTGAGAGTGATGAAACTTGGTGTATAGTTTCATTACATCAATACCTGGACTAAGTTCGATAATGAGCATTTTCTGCTCAGGGTAAGCAGAGCGTTAAGCAATTTGATTGGCCCAGACTTTGGAACACATTAATTCTCCTTCTAATTGAGCTAGAATATGTTCAAACTTGTTTTAGGTGTTTATTAGGTGAATGCCTTGATGGAGTTCGATGATGAGCATTTTCTGCTTAGGGTAAGCAGAGATGAGCAATTCGATTGGTTGATGCTTTGGGACACGATAACTATGGTTTTAATTAGTCAGAGTGGTGAAACTTGGTGTATATTTCATTACATCAATACCTTGACTAAGTTCGATAATGAGCATTTTCTGCTCATGGTAAGCAGAGTGATAAGCAATTTGATTGGTTGAGACTTTGAAATACAATAACTCTTACTCTAATTGAGTTTGAATGTTCACACATGGCGTAGGCATTCATTAGGTCAATGCCTTGATGAAGTTCGAAGATGAGCTTTTTCTGCTTAGGGTAAGCAGAGACAAGCAATTTGATTAGATGATGCTTTCGGACACGATAACTTTGGTTATAATTAAGTGAGAGTGATGAAACTCTGAGTATAGATTCATTATATCATTACCATGACTACGTTCGATGATGAGAATTTTCTGCTTAGGCTAAGGAGCAACAAGCAATTTGATTGGTCAAGACTTTAGAACATAACTCTGCTTTTAATTGAGGTAGAATATTTAAACTTGATGTAGATAATCATTAGGTGAATGTCTTGGGGTTTTTTGCCCAATATTTACCCAAAGTGTCCTGGTTATGGTTGCTATGAAGTCTTGGTTGCTATTGAATCATGGTTGCCTTGTTTCTATACTTTACAATCACTATGTCATTCAGAACAAATGTTATTTTTTGCATTTCAGTGACGTGAGTGGTTTAGTGTTGATTAATCCGTTATCTGATGTCTTATTTGAACAAGATCAAGGAGTGTGGGCGAAATACTGGTTTGTTCATTTATATGTTTTGATTCGAGATTGTGATTTATATACACAACAATCCAGATTGCTGAAATATTAGAGAATTTGATGAATTTCTATTAATTTTCATGCCTTATTTACATTATGCATGGTTTATTTACTTATCCAAAGAGTCATCCACAAACTTTCCCTGATTAGATTGTGCATAAAACAATAATCAAACAACATTATCTCCCCTTGTTTCTAGCTATAAAGATAGGCTAAGACATTTTGGACTAACGACAGTACAAAAATTTGTTGTTCTGTTTGTGGGTAGCGAGAACTAGAAATAAATTATGATGAGACTCTAGTTGTCACTAGGTTTTAGGTTGTCCCGACTTCGGACAATCAACAGTACAAAAATTTGATAATCCATGTGAGTAGTGGAAACTAGAAACAAATTATCATAGGACTTGTTGTGTTTGAGAGATTACAATCATCTCGTACTCGCTAGGTTTAGGATTCCCATGTCCCAAATTTAAGAGCAAAGGCGTGTTACCACAGAAAGCGCTCACATATGCGGGTGTTCATAAATATGGGTGTTCGCATGTGATTATCACTCCCCATCTTTATTAGCCAAGTCGGAGCAGAACAGTAGAATGTTAAAATCCATTTCATTTCATTTCCTCCCCCCCCCCCCCCCGTTTCTCCCTGGCCTATACAGAGCCTATACAGGAGAGACCACTGATGACTGAGAACTTTTCAGGGTGGACTCTCTCCCCTCCCCCCCCCCCCCATCTCCATATCCCACTTAAGGCTCTGCAGCCAGTCATGCCGGAACAGATCCCCTCCAAGATCATTTTCCTGCACAGGACCCTGAGTTAGAATGTCCTACCACAGTGTGTGAATCTGGCTTTATGGATTCATAACATGGAAAGATTCTAGATTCGAATCCACAGGCTTCAAATGCTGCTTTAGTATTTTATCATTTGTTTATTTTTACCAATATGTTTGTATATTTTTCAGGTTTGGACAATTAATCCCAACATACCAGACGCTACAACTAGGAGCTGCTATAGGATTAACTAGATTAGCCTTAATATTAGGTGTTTTAAAACATCCACTATCAGGTTCACAGATGACACAAGATATAGAATATAGACAAGTGAGTTAATACATGTTTAATCAGGCTCAGAGATGACACAATATATAGAATATACATGAGTTAATAGGTGTTTTATCAGACTCACAGATGACACAAAATATAGACAAGTGAGTTAATACATGTTTTATCAGGCTCAGAGATGACACAATATATAGAATATACATGAGTTAATAGGTGTTTTATCAGACTCACAGATGACACAAAATATAGAATATAGGCAAGTGAGTTAATACATGTTTTATAAGACTCATGCCATAGATAACACAATATATATAATATACACAAGTGAGTTAAGTGCTGAATTTAATCTTGGTGCTCTCCTTTAAGCTGTATGAAGCTTGGGAGGTCCCTCATTAAAAACTAACAACATATTGTCTCACAAATCCGAAATTCTGTGAGATCCTAAGATTGTGAGACCCTAAGCTGTAGATTGCATAGCTTCATTCTGGATCCATTACTGAGTAATTATAAAGAAATCTTCAGAAAAGTTTAAGAACAGATCCAAGATTTTTTATACTGGAGGTGGGTGACCAAGCAGAGCAAGGTGAACAGTTTGTGGACTCTGGCGTATGGCTTCTAAAAGTAAAAGAGCCAGTTACCCGATGAGATTGACAGATTTGTAGTAAATATTCAGTTTCTGTTTGGTTTAGGTATATTTATAGTTAGTACTTACCTATAGAGAAAAGAGTATTTGGATATTTCCATCAATCACAGCATGATCAAGTATACCAATTAATGTCAGCTCATTTAAAACATCTGAATTGTCAAAGAGCTTCTCTAAAAGTGTATGACAAATACGTTCTCCTCTTTAGTATGTATATGTTTTCCAATTGATTTTGATATTTAGGATATCAAGGAAATATATCTGGAATCTATTTTACTGGATGTGTTTTATCTTTTGATTTCAGAAACATTTATTATGTCATCCTCGACATTTAAGTTCTGTTGTTGATGAACATCATTTTATAAACGAAACATTTTCTCAAATAAAGTAAGTAAAACCATCACAGATTTTATACTGTGCCCCTTTCATTATAATTTTCTCTAATATCAACTCATTTCATAAAACGAATTTTTATTTGCCTGTTCTCTAGAAAAATTATAAATATTTCTTTTGTTTGTAAAATGTCATTTGAAGATGGGTTAACTGCTTATGGTACCAAATTATATTCCACTAATTATTTACGATTTGATACCAGATTATATTCCACTAATTATTTATGATTTGGTACCAGATTATATTCCATTAGCTAATTGTTTTTGATTTGGTACCAAATTTAATGAAAACCATCTAGTTGTTCAGATGGTATAAACAAAAACGAAATCCCGGGTACATGTTGGTATGCACGTAATAGGGCTTGAACAGTTGGAATTGGAAATAAGAATAGACTGTCTGGGCAGAATTTCCATCACAACACAGTGCAGTGGTTTATGCCCATCTTCATTAGACCTGTTGGGGCAGATAAGTAGGACATTAAACACCATTTTATTTTATGTTTGTATTCTACTAACTAATTGTTTATTATTTTAGAACAGCTAAATTATTAAAAACAATACCCAGTAGAATTTCTGTATCTATAATGACTGGTAATTATTATGATGAACAAATGCCCAGCTCCTTAAACAAGGTGAGTAATATAACTTTTAATACATCTTCAAATTAATAGTCATATTTGATTTAATGATCAGGGGAGTTGGATGGCCGAATGGTTAGCGCAAGCACTTGTATCATAAGGTCTGTCATTGAGTCAACTTGTGTGGTTTTCATTACCCAGTTGTACGTGACAAAGGAGTAGGGTCACCTGTCCAACCTCGTAGGTTTTCTCTGGGTTGTCTGGTTTCCTCCAACTGCTAAAGACCCCTACGCGCATGGGAATTATTGAAATAAAATTGAACCATATGTTAGTCCCGAAATGACCTGGTTTGTGTCGAGTGGACTTTAAACCCAATCCCTCTCTTTCTCTCTCTCTGATTTAATGATCAGTGTATACTGACTACACTGTGACTAGAGTTTTGCTCCATACTCTGCTCCCACAAACTCAATCTCCTTAATAATAACCTACGGTTAATACATCTTGACATACTTGATTTAATCATTGGTGTGTACTGCTTACACTGTGACTAGCATGTTGCTCCATACATTGTCTGAGATACTCAATCTCCTTAAACTAGGTGAGTTAATAACAACCTATGGTTAAAGTTACAATTTCATATTTTCTAAGAAAGTCAAAACATAATTATTTCTATGTCTTTGCTCAATAGGTTGTCAACTCATTATTATACGATCATAGGTTATCTTTCTTACACTTAAAAATCTTCACACCAGAAATAATAACACAATTACCTCCCAATTACTTCCCTTGTTTTCCTATTCCCCACCATGGAATATCTATCTTCAAACGTTTGAATTTGAAGTTGAAAATGATATTTTTGCCAATTTCTCAACTGGCAATAGTGAATTATAGGATTGATAGGATTATTCTTTAACAAAGTAGGACTGTTTATAGATACCATCTATTTTAGGGCTTTATTTTGATACATTTTAAAAATATAACTTAAAAATATGAAATTGTAACTTTAATACAGTGTATACTATACTGATTACACTGCGACTAGAGTGTTGCTCCATACATTGCCCCACTCGCTCTCATGAGGTGGTGGAGGACTTGTTTTCAAGGGTTGCAATTGACATCCAAAACTTGTCATGAATGTGCAATGTTTTATTTAGTATTTTTGAAACTAATGAAAGGAATAAAGATGGTAAGTTGAAAATTCATGCATATTTCTTTTTTATCATAATTGTTTGTTTTATATGATAATCTCACCCATACTCCAATCCATATCATTATTTTACCGAAAGTAATGATTTCTTGAATAGTGGAATAATAAAATAGAAGTAGGTATTTCAAAATTTCACTTTTGCATTATGTGGATTTAGTCCTGCACCACTGACAAGGAGGAACAATGCTGGAAAACCGATAAACACGGAACCTCCCCGTTAGCGAATCAAGGTTTACTCACCAAGCCGTTGTGGCTTCCTTGTAATTGACAAAGGTAGGGGTCATCTTTTTAAACCAGGTTTTCTCCAGGTTCCTGCAAATGTTAAAGACTTCTTCATGCAAGGGAATTCACATGAATTACAGAGATATCCCATATTATTTAATGTGGATGTATATTGCTTTCGACTTGGTCTTGTGGATCAATTTTGGTTCACAATTACTTATAAACATTCTGGTGGGGGCGACGGTATGGTTCAAAGAGTGTACATTAAATCACATGGTCTGTCATTGAGTCAGGTGGCGTGGTTTTGACAGGGTCGCCTGTATAACCTTGTGGGTTTTCTCCGGGTCCTCCAGTTTCATCTCACTGCTAAAGACCCCAACGCACACAATCAAATTATTGAAATATGATTCAACCGTATGTTAGTCCCACAAATACTTAGTTTATGTCTCATGGACGTTAAACCCCGATTTCTCTCAGAGACAGTTCTTGACAGGTATACAAATGACTGACAATTTTGTTTATTTCAGGCTTGGGCTAAAGCTGAACAGCAGTTTATATCAAAACATTTTCCCTCCGCTCAGCATTTAGTAGTTAATGGTGCTGATCATCATATGTTATATAAACTACCACATAATATTGTTGAAGTTATACTCAAGATGGTGCGACAAGTTAAACTCAGAAATAAAAACACTAAAAGTTCATAATTCATAAATTAATTCATTTTATTCTCATTTTATTCATTTGATTAAAATATTTACATTTTATTTGTTTTGTCTTATACGCCCACATGCCCACATTATCATGTAGACGTATTATGCCGTGGCCACAGTTTTTGTCTGATTTAGATGAAACTTAAGGCTTAAGTGATGGGATTTCGCCCGGATATTCCGGACATGTCCGAAGCTATTTTCCAAACGTCCTAAGTGTATAACTACCACTCAACCCGATTATCGTTGATAATAGGATGGATTGAGTAGGTAATTAAGTGTACAACGTACTTGTACTTATCGTGTTATACCGCCTATATACCTACCTTGATTAACTAGTTAATCTGCCTTAATCAGCATCAAAAGATCTTGCGCATCCGACCATCCGTGCCTGAGTAATGTTCCCTGCTTTTTACCCAAATATACTTAGGTGACATCGATTTTGGTACGCATCGGATCCTCCATTCTGCAATTATCACCTTTTTACGCAAAATGTTAAATATTGCCAAATTGCAAAAACGGACATATCCCAAATATGGGTCTTTTTGAGGAGATTAGTGTAAGCCCAATTCAAGAAAAGAAGTCATTGTTGGGTTAATATCATTTGTTATATGTACATGTATTCATATGACATAGGGGGGGGGGGGTGGAAAGCCGAATGGTTAGCGTGTGGGCGTTGTAATTAAATCTTTGCTAGCTCCTCGACTATTGGTATTTTTGAGGAACCTCAATCCCAGCGGCTACGACCTACTGGACTATTCCTGCTTCAGCTCATTTGATCAGGGACAACGTTCCTTTTCATTTTGGAAAACACGCCTGGATTTACAATAACCAGCCATAAAATATTGAATAGGATCAGATATTGTAGGAAAGGTATTGGTTGTACAGTATCATCAACGTGTAAATGGTGACGTCATCAAATATAAGGAAGGTAACCGCTTAAGCATGTGCAATTTAAGTGATGTCTGCAATATAATTGGGTTTAACGTCCTACATTTCTGAGGCCTGCTGTCTGATAAAAAAAACATAATTTCAATATGACAGGATACTGTTTTATTTGTCGTATTTGACAATCTATTAGACAAGCATATTTTAGTATTTAATATCGTTTAATACAACATTTAATAGAGGAATTATCATAATGAAATTCTTGTGCAATTGTCAAAATAAAATTAACATTTAAGGGACGTTGTTGCACATCTCCTTTATATTAACAGATGTTTCCAGATATTGTTGAAAGTTTTCTTGGTACGGAAAATAATGTCATTAAAAGTAAGTGAGCTCCGCATCCTCGGTATCCCCAGTGTAATCATTCCGTTCTACTCCACTGAACAGAATGAAACCACTGGGGTTACCGAGGATGGAGAACTCCGATGTAACCCCGCATAGCTCCATCGCGGGTCTACTATTATATATAATTACGAATACATTCTGTACATTTTTAAATCTTAAATAAATATGCGTTTAGTATACTAAAGACAAACACGTATACACATAAATATAGCTATTCACTCAACGCTCTCTTGGATAATATAGCCTACATTAAACGAGCGTTGTACGCTAACACAATAAACACTGATCGCTTTGTATAGGGTATTAACAAGTGATGTCAAACAGTGATGGTTTGGTGGTAGTTGGAACACACAAACATTTCTTGATGGAACAGCATTATTTATGTCAAATTATAGTTGGTTAACATATAATTTCACAACCAATCAATTACCGCGTTACAAATAAATACGGGATTAACCACAGTCATAAATATGTTTTATATAAAAACGAGATTAACCAGAGCAACATATATTTCTATATTATAAGTATGATGACAGTCGCGACTAAAAAGGTCATCTGTTTACTTAAAAGGAAAGCCCAACCTGGAGCGTACTATTTGATTGGCCAGTGGACTACAGGCGTAGTAGGTTAGACAAATTGCTATAGCAGTGTTGGGTGCACATATATATAAAACACACAGTGCAGCCATCTTAGTGGATATGGATTAATTTCGATTAAAAACACATGCCACCGCTATATGTTCAATATATTTTGTCTTTAATCATTCTCCGTTAATACTGTCTTCAAAAACTGTTCCACAGTGGAGATGCAAAAGTTCTGAACCACAGAGCACTTGTTTCTGACGATCATTTTGTTTAGTTCACTCTGAATAACGAGAAGGATATCGCAACTGGTCTTCTCCTACATTATACGGTAATAGAATAGTTTTAGAATCAATCCTATGCAATATTTAGTCACTGGAAACCGTACTTCCATATGCTTTACGTAACTGTTACTCCATCTTTCTAAAGCAAGTACTATAATATTTATAACAGTCTTAGTCTCCTCTCTATTTCGATAATAATGTTTTGTAGTCGGAAGTTGAGTGTGACGGACCTAGTTGACCAGGGTAAAATGGCAAGGAATGTTTCTTATACGGACTGTCATTATATGAAATGTCTTTAGCATATACATGTTGGCGTCCTGTTTAAATTGCATATCATCCTAGATATCCAACTGCGCCATGTGCTCATATTATTTGCTTACTTATTTTGTCTATGTTTTGCTATGCAGTTCTCTTGCGTTGTCCATCGGCACAGTTCTTTTGTCTATTTTTAACAAATACAACAAAACTTGTTATCCATGGGAAATTCCGAGCTGATCACAATGAATATCCTGCGCCGCGCACGATATCGGTTGGATATTCCATCCATTGTCATAATCCTTGAAATAAATACTTTTGGAAAATGAGTTTTATTTTTGTTCAAGTAAATTCACTTTTTTGATTGAAAGTTATTCGAACCGTGTTCCTTTGCAACAAAATCTATTAACAATTTATCTTGTCTTGATGGCCGTGCACGTTCCGTTAACGTCCTTGTAACCTTGACAACAGAATGATTGACACACTGTTAAAACTGATTGATATCTGAAAAATAAAACGTAAAAAAAATCTGAGTAATATACAGGGGTGCCTTCAAAAGAGGGGTTTGGGTGACCAAATAGTTTAAAGTTTAAGCTTTCGATCATACATTCTGTTATCTATACAAAACATTAGCTCATTTGTATACGCGACAACCTTCACATGCGCCCATCTCTCCAAAATTCTATTGGATTTAGTTTCCAGCATGGAATGGTAAATATTTGATTATTCTCGGGGCCTTCGCTCCCCTAACCCCGAAAGGATGCTTCTACTGATACCTAGGGGCAGAATTGCAAACTGGGATCAAACCGCTCCCCCAGAACCCCGGCTGGTTTACTTGCAACTATCCGAACTAAGATCGTTTGGTTTGTCGTTTCCTGTGGCAACTACCAAGTTAAACACCGCTTGGGCGCCGTTACAAATACTTGCCGCTCCTGCTGCAACCGTTCCAGCAATGCACTGTTTCAGGGAGGTATCTTTATCAGAGCTACAATGGTAGTGAACAAATTGGGTACTTGGGAGCCACGGTAGCTCAGCGAGTAAAACGTTGGCTTGCTAGCCTGGAGGTCTCGTGTTCGATTCCTGTGTTGACCGAGAAAGTTCATCGGGATTTTCTGCAGCGTGGTTCACCCTTGTCAGTTGTTATTGGATGGTACGAAAAAACAGAGGTCTGGTGTACACATTATCGTGCACGTAATAGAACTCTTGACAGTTGGAATTTGATATAAGAGTAGGCCGTAGTGCCGCGGTCCAAGCACAATTTCCCTCATAGCACACTGTATGGCGTATGCCCGTCTTGATTTGATTAGCCCAGTCGGAGCAGAACAGTGGGACGTTAAACATCATTTCATTTGACAGATTAGTCACTTACTTGGTACACATTTTAAGGGGCCAGAACACGCCACATCTATATTCATACTTTTTCTTCTGTGTACATAACGTTACAAAACTCTGATCACACCGCTGATTATTGCATGATTCTGTTTTTACTTCTTCTGATTTACCGCTAAATATACAATTATTAAATTTCTTTTTTGTTTAAAAGGGCATTATGGGAGATTAGATAAAGAGCTGACAGTTCTCGCTATAATAGATATAAAAAAAAATAGATGACGTAAACAGAATATGCTGAAAATTTCAGTCAAATTGCTCCACTCTGAACCGAGATATTAGCGATTGAATTTTTGGCTTAGCCGGGGGGTTGGGTGGCCGAATGGTTAGCATGTGCGTGCTGTATCATACGGCCTGTCATTGAGTCAACTGGCGAGGTTTCGAATCCCCGGTTGTAGGGTCGCCTGTCCAACCTCGTGGGTTTTCTCTGGGTCCCCCGGTTTCCTCCCACTGCTAAAGACCCCTACGCGCAAGCGAATTAATGAAATAAAAAATTAAAACCATATATTAGTCCCGAAATGACCTAGTTTGTGTCGAGTGGACGTTAAACTCCATTTCTCTCCATCTCTTTGGCCTAGCCCCGAACATCATTACTGAAGTCGGTACTGTAAAATCAAAGTCTCGATTATCCATTTTGACGTTAAATCACTCATCACAAAATGTATTCAAATCTAGTAAATATCACAGGCTAGCAATGACATTGAGAGTTGATTATGGTTTCCATACGCTAATAAATGTTTATTTAATAATTTAGATAACATTTTAGACCTAAAAAATGACCCGCAAAAGGCAGATTTAGCTCTTGAATAATGTATGTTTAAAGTGACAGTCTCGGATATTTATTAGGGATACGTCAAAGCGATAAGTAATGGTCACGATTATCAGGTCCCATATTTCAACAATGTCATTCCTTATAAGGGAACGGGATGTACCGGAATGAGGGGGGGGGGGGGGGGGTAGAGCAAACGGGGACAAATGTCACGGGAACCTCCACATTTAGCGTACAAGATCAAAAGTTTCATTGGATAACCGATAGATTCTATTTTAGTTTTTGAAATTTTTTATTTTATCTGGCATGTGTTACACGCCCAGGATAATCCTCAGAATGCACCAAATCGAATCTATTTTTCATACTTTTCTGTGTGCTGGTCCCTACGCGGAAATCCGTCTTCATTAGCCCAGTCGGTGCAGAACAGTAGGATGTTAAACCCCATTTCATTTCATTTCACTTACCCACAGTATGCCGGGTTATCAC